AAGAATCTACAAACTATAGATGATCTTGTGAACAAAGTTCTAAAAACCTTAGATTTTTTAATGTTATGAATCATTCTACTGTCCATAAAAGGATTTACGAATTGTAGAATGTCTCGTGAAACAAGTTCTGAATAATTAAATTAAATTCTAAATTTACAAAACTACGATTCGTATAAGGTTATATGGATCATAGAAGTGACCATAAAAGGGTTTACAACCCGTATAAAGGTCTATGGACCTAAAACTTCATAATCCAAAATTATAGACGTATATAATGGCTTCTACGATTACGGATCGTAGAATGACCTTGTATACTCCATCAATTTTTTTTCTTAAGAATGACTATTTTTAGTATTTTTCTACCCCTTTAAAGTCTTGTTAATTCCCGACTTTTTTGGGATATCCAATTAAAGTCCTTATCAATATGATACATCTACATTATTTTCATAATCCTTTCCAAGACTTAAAACAAGAATTAAGAAGCAAACTAGGGTTTCAAGCATATCCATCAAATTTCTTCAGGATCTTGTTCTCCGAAGTATATAAGAAAATTATAGTGAAGGACTAAGTCTATCCTCACGCTCTATATTTAGAATTCAATAGTGAGATTAAACCTAGGGTTATTACCCTAAGTTTCAAAGACTTTTAACTGTCTTTACTTCCTTATCATTGGTTTATAATTTTACCATTGAAATTGTAGTTTTCATGTATTTTTTATTCGTAATTATTGTTCATACCTATTTATAACATGAACCCTAATTTTCAAAGAATTATTTGAAAGTTTTTTCACCTTTACTTTCATGCATTCTTTTAAGAGTCAAAGTACGTTTCAAGTATTTGAAAAGAGATTTAAGGAAACCTAAGCATTCCTAATGTACTATATTCACAGTAAGAGCATGACTAGTTCTAAAGAAAGAATCATTAGTTTTAGAAAGAAGTTTCAGTCAAAGGAAAGTTCAGTATGATTTCAAAGAAGTATTTTTGAATATTAATTTACGACAAAGATTATAAAATTTATCCTAAAGTGGAACAATTTCCCTAAAAGTGGGACATCACACATTTATTAAACAAATTACATGTTTTGTGAGTAGCATTGAGTACTGAGTTAGGTAAGGGTTTAAATAACCCAAATCACATAAGATGTGCTACTAGTGTAAGGTAGGATTGTGCAGTTGATTCCGGATACTCCTCATACATTTCCTAGTAAGAGCTTAGAGATGGATCCATAAGTTCAGTCCATTCTTTACCACTAGCAAAGTGTCTGATGAAACTGACAACATGAAAAAAATGTTGTATCATCACAATCAAAAAATCAATGTCATGATAGCACACACCTCAAACCCAATTCGGTGTGTAAGCTGAAGAATCTAACTTAAGAATTATATCAAATGTTGCGAAAAAGAAGGTAAGCATAAAAATGAGAAGAATAAAGTCAGGCCCTAATAGAAGAAAACTCAGATACAACAAAAAATTTCCAAAACCTAGTATCACAGCGTTAAACAACATTCTTACATTAAATTCAACACTTGTCTGTGAACTCACATAAAGACAGAAATGAAAGATGAAGTTTGAATGATGATATGTACGACGATCAATTCAGTCTAAATTACCACACATATTAATGGCTACAACAAAAGATTACAAAAGTAGGGGTGAGTACAGTCCACATGTACTCAGGAGGTTAGACTAATTGAGCATAAGCAACTAATCAAATTAGGAAATAAACTATGAAACTTTCGCCTACACGTAACCCTACTCTGTCATTGGTTTCATCAATTTATATAATAACGACGTGAATAAAGTAAACACCCAAGGGTTCAGATAATAATCAAATCAATGTATAAGCAGGTCACACAATACAACAAACATGCCAGTGTGATGCAATAAGATGATGAAAAATGAATGATGTAGTGGAATCAAGGTCATCACATAACATATCGTATACACCTTACTGAGCTTTAGCTTCCAACAAGGATCTATGGGAGACTCGCGATCCACATACCAAAATCATAATCTCAATATTTCATCAACTTGTGACAAAGCTCGTGATCAAGGATATAAGTCACGTGTCACATTTTCTTTCTAAAAAAGTAAGTATGTCTCCACTTTCTCATATTTCCATGAAAAAATGATATGCTAAATGAGGATGAATGCATCACTAACACATAAAACACAAAGTCATAATAAATTCATGAAGGATTTTGAATAGCATTAAGTTTTTAAACTTACAATTCATTAAACACATCCTCAATGAAAACACATTCCAAATCGACTTTCAAATCAATAATTTTCGATATCTCTACATTGGATTTTAAATCTCCACTTTATGGAAAGAAATCATGAAATAAAAAAGGATTATTCTTGGAAATAGAGTAAAATAGAATTTGAAATATGTACCCAATGATTATGAAAATAAAAAAAACATATAAAATCATCTCAAACGAACCTTTATAACTCCCTAACTATCAAAAATACGAAATAGGTTCGAATAGATATTTAACTCAACAATTTTATCGCTAGAACCAAATTTTTGTTGCAAAAAAGTCTATTTTCTTCATCGTTAAAAGTGTTCACCAACGACCTTTTAAATATTATTTTGACCCTTGAAACTCATTCGGAATCCTATAAACAAAAACTAACTATGTGAATTCATTACAAAATATGTTTCTGAACCAATGTAATCATCAAATTTGAAGAAAAAATATTTTTATGACATAAATCCCCGCTCGGGGACCTATTTAGACAAAACATTCAACTTTTTATCTAAATTTGAAATCACAATCTAAGGTCTCAGACTCATAGTGATGACTATCGGTTAAAGAAACTCTTTGGAGAAAGTAAAGTATACTACTTTAACCTTTGATATATTGAATTGTCTCAATTATAAAGCTTTAATTATTTTCATTACATTTACATGTTTAACTTTCAGTTGGTTACTTACGAATCCCTTACAATATATCTATTTCAGTTAGTTGATGTTTCAATTAATAATTTTACTTATTATACATTTCATGTACTGATGTCTTTTGATGTTGCATCATGTTATCATACATGTACATGTGTTCAAGATCGACAACATGTGCTTCATTAAGATCTTATCTCCATTAGTTTTTTGTAAGACCTCCTTTCTTTCCGATAACTCCTTTCCATCTATATCTTTCAATTTTTATTAGACACTTCGTTATTATTCAGCTCACAGTAAGTCTTCTTCGAACACCTATCTCAATTTAGAGAAGCTTCATGGACAATTTAGTGAGTCAGTTCACTTTTTAATATTCAAATGTTTGGAACATTATTACTATTCATATTCAGTGTTATTTTTCATATTCGTGCACGTACGATTGAGATGTTTTAAGTGTGATTAAATGATTTTAAATGCAATACCGGCCAAAACACATACCGTACATTTATCGGACTTACCGGTACGAGAACCGAATCGGACCGACCAAAATCATGTCCAATTGTCAGCCTTACTCATAACCATAGACTAAACCTTCAATTTCTTTAAGAGGTGCCAATTCATGCTAAAATTTGATCTTAATATACCACTAAATTTTCTAACAGAAGGGTGTGGCTCGACACCCCTAGACCAAGGGTAGGTTCACCCTGAATACCCACATTATATCATATATTTATATAAAAAAGAACCCTAAGTCCGCTTACGTGGCGCCGCCACAAGTTAAAATTTCCTTTTAAATTTATTTATTTTCAAAACTAGTCTTCCCCTTTCATGAAAAGTTGTGACTTTCATGAATAACTGTGACTTTTATGAAGAGTTGTGACTTTTATAAAATATTGTGACTTTTATGAAAGGTTGTGACCTTTCTGAAGGGTTGTAACTTTTCTGAATGGTTGTGCCCTCTCCAAAGGGTTATAACTTTTCCAAAGTGTTGTGATCTTTCCTATAAGGCATAATAAAAATTTGTTCACATTATTCTTTGTTTTCTATAAATGGAGGGATTTCATCTCATTTTAAAACAATGAAAATTCTGAACATCTTCTTTTTCTACGCAATTAAATATTATTTTTGTATGAATACACTGCTGAATATAATCGTTCTATTATGAGAGGATCTATTCATTTAAACTTCTGTACTGGAGGGGAATAATTTCTTTAAGGGGACACTATGCATTCAATTGACTCAATTTTTTCTGTTATGTTTCATTCTACCTGGTATGTTTGTTTTATACTTTGTTGTTTATGTTTCGGTAAATTTATTGTTATAAGTATTTATAATACACATTAAATAACACACAATAATTGAGTATGCATACAAATTTTTCTACTGAAATTGTAGTTTCCATTCGAACTTCATCACTCTGGTATGTTGATTTTTAAAAAACACCCAAATAAACTTAATAGTCTTGTGTTATATTTTTTCAATCAATTATATTTAATAAGTTGAATTATTGTGCTATATGATACATTCTTCCTATAATATCTTTGGTTGATGTTTATTTGATTCCCTTGAAATACGAAATAGTAATACTTCTTGGAAGCAAAAGAATAAATTGTAAATCAAATTTAAGATGATCGATTGATTGATAAATGATAAGATGTTATAATAATCATTTTTCTTTACATTATTAGTGTTTTTTACTTGGTATTATATGTGAGAGAATATAATGTTTTAGTTTTAATAACTGATATGTTTTAAGTATTATTTTATAAATTTTGTGATATTAAATTTTGGCGTAAAGAGCAAATTATTTTCCTAATTATTAATACATATAAACTCTATTTAGCTACCAAATAATCCCTAAATAGTCAAATATATATAAATTTGATTTTTTTTTCAAAATATAAACTTATTACAATGAATTTCATAGAATGATGAGATAGAAAATCATAAAATGAAAGTAGTTTGAAATCACATGATCGGAAACGGCTGATTAGAAAATGAAAAGATGGTAGAGTTGTTCAAAGTGGAGGAAGGAAAAGTCAAAAGGTGTATTTTCATTTTCCATGGTAGTTGGTGTATTCTGCTCACGTAGTGACCAATTTAATAGAGTATTTGTACTATTCACACACTGAAAAGTATGCATACACCTCTCCTCTCTACTTTCTCTCTCCCTTTTCACTATTCCAAACCCAAACTCAAGCCTTTCTTGGAGGTTGACCCACTTTTCCTTTTTTTCATTACATCTCTCAAATTTCATCATACTTCACAGATCTCTCATTTTTATTCTGATTCTCCTATTTCACCTTCAGATCTTGTATTATAGGCATGTCATCCTTCTCTATTCTGAATTTGTAACGACTCTTCTGGATCCCTTTTCTACAATTTTGCTTTTGTTTCTTACTTTTTATATATTAGTTCATACTATAAAGTTTGTGTCTTTATGGATTTTTTTTTTGTAGAGAAAGTTTTTCTCTTGGTTTCTCTGCAGGAGTGCTAGAATTTGCTTATTAACAGGTTTGTTCTAATCAGGCTTCTTCATAGATTTGTATATTATATTGTTTTAATTAGTAAATCTCATGAATCTATGGTGTGAATACTGAAAAATTTAGACCTAATTTTTTTATTCATAAATAGGCTAGGGTAAGAGATTGAAAATGAACCATTAAGAGAAGTAGTTGAATTGGTCTTTCTAACAAGAATCTTGGTTGAGATTGTTTGTTTTTTGTTCTTCTTGCTGGTGGTGTGTTGTCGAAAATTAGCAAGTTTACATGATTTTTTATTCTGTTGGCTTCTTCACTTTGTGATGGAATTGCTGAAACATCAGAAAAGGAGTTATCTTTCATAAAGTTGTATCTGATAAATATTATGTGATTAATTGTACTTTGGTATCCTTGTGAAGGTATCCTTTTTCTTTGTATGCCTTTCTTGTTTCTATCTCTTTACTTTTCTTCTTAGCAACTTATTCTTTAGTGAAATATGATTTAGTTTTTGCTCTTTCGCAGTTGTGTCCTTTGACAAGTTTGCTTCTGCTAACTGGAAAAAGGGCTTATATTTTAAGGAAGTGCAAAGAAAGAAGTACAGAACAGTTTTGCTATTAGATGTCGTTCCGCAGTATAGTTCGGGATGTAAGAGATAGTTTTGGCAGTTTATCCAGGAGAAGCTTTGATGTAAGGCTCTCTGGTCATCAAAGGGGTAAATCACTTGGTTCATTTCATGACTTGAGTGACCAGCCTCCTGTCAACCAGAACAGTTGTTGGGCTAATCTCCCACCTGAACTACTTTTTGATGTAATTAGAAGATTAGAAGAGAGTGAGAACTCATGGCCTGCCCGTAAGCATGTCGTATCATGTGCTTCAGTTTGCAGGTCATGGAGGATTATGTGTCAGGAAATTGTTAGAAGTCCTGAAGTTTGTGGAAAGCTTACATTTCCAGTATCGTTAAAGCAGGTTATGAACACCCCCACCTTATATAGTGGAGACGAGTATTTACGACTAGTAATCTTTTGGAGGAGAATTGACGAGTTTGTTTATTTCCTTTTGCAGCCTGGGCCTCGTGACGGAATGATTCAATGTTTCATCAAGAGGGATAAATCTAATTTGACTTACCATCTTTTCTTGTGTCTCAGTCCTGGTAAGAATTCGATGTATATTTGCTATTTTGGGGGCTCATAGGGGGTTGATGTCTTTTAAACATAGATGAGGCATAAAAGGTAATGGCGATTCAGAAACGCGTGGATAAATGGTGGCATTAATGTCTTTTCACTATTCTCTCGTTAGCTATAATCGACCACCCAAAAAAAAACCCATGTTACTAAGAATTTTCTAGGGTAGTACTGCAACGAGTGATTTCCTAAGTACTTGTATTTCCAGTTGCAATTTGATATTTGTTACGTACAAAGTTTTTCAGAGTTTGATAAAAAATCCCTGTTTCTTTGTAGCTTTACTAGTTGAAAATGGGAAATTCCTTCTCTCTGCAAAGAGAACAAGGCGGACTACTTGTACGGAGTATGTTATCTCAATGGATGCAGAAAACATCTCAAGATCAAGCAACACTTACATTGGAAAATTAAGGTATAGGAAAGGAACTATTCATTTTCTATTTTCCTGTATCTTTCGTGCGAGATGTTTCACGATATACTAATGTAAGATGAAGACATTCTTTACCCCTTACACTTGTCAAAGAGAAAAGGTTTCTCCGAAGTTAGCCTTGCATCAAATACCAAGCTCAAACATTCATAAAGGCTTGACATTAGGGATTACTTTAGTTAGTGCATTATTACATACATCAGGAACAGAATAAGTTATGTCCAGCTGGGGTGGGGGTGGGTGTCTAGTGTCTACCTGGTACCATAACATCTCAGACGTCTTAGACGAACTTTGGTCTCAAGTTCTGTCAGGGATTACACATAATTGGAGGGTACTAGATCCTCACTCCATTCTATTCAATCTAGAACAATTTTCTCGATTTTTTCCTCAAGGATGGGCAATGCTGATGTATTCCATCTAGTACAGGATCCTCCCTACATTCTATTCAGCCAGAGGAAGTCTATTTGAGGATGGCTGATGCTGGTGCAGATTAGGCAGAAAGTTATGCTAGCTAAATATTCTCTGGGATTTTTTTTTAATAAGAAGACGTGCAGAAACTAAAATTATCCACAAAAAAAGGAGCCGAGGAATTTCTCGGAGGGCGTTTAAGACAGAAAAGAATAAGTTCCCTTCAAGTAGAAAGGAAAGAAATGTTAATTTAGTGCATAATCTGGGTATCTGACTATAAATAAAGCCTTCTGCTGTGGGTTTGAGTGACACTGCGATGTCTGCTTTCTGCTGTAGGTTTGAGTGATACAGCGACACCTGCTAAACTGCTCTAAATAACGGAAAGGATCACGTGATTTATATTTCATATAACACAGCTTTTTAGTGCTTATATGCACTTAGTGGAGCGTGAAATGAATGTTTGTCAAGTATTTATTATTAATGACAATGTTTTCTGATGTATCTAATACTGATGTTCATTACAGGTCAAATTTTCTGGGTACAAAATTCGTTATATATGACACACAGCCTCCATACACCTTTGCAAACGTTCCGCCTCCAGGCCGCACAAGCCGCAGATTCTATTCCAAGAAAGTCTCTCCGAAAGTTCCAACTGGAAGCTACAGCATAGCCCAAATCAAATACGAGCTAAATGTTCTTGGAACACGGGGTCCACGGAAAATGCACTGCGTAATGCACTCGATTCCTGCCTCAGCAGTTGATGTGGGTGGGTCAGTGCCTGGCCAACCGGAACTTCTCCCAAGGTCCCTTGAGGATTCATTCCGTAGTATCTCTTTCTCAAAGTCGTTGGATCATTCTGCTGAGTTCAGTAGCTCACGGTTTTCTGATATTGTTAGAGCATCATCCAGTGCAGAAGATGATAGTAAGGTGAAACCCTTGGTTCTAAAGAACAAGTCACCGCGTTGGCATGAACAATTGCAGTGTTGGTGCCTGAATTTTAGAGGACGGGTGACAGTTGCATCTGTAAAGAATTTTCAGTTGATAGCGGCCCACCAACCACCTGCTGGGGGACCGACGACCTCTCGGTCAAGTCAATCAGATCATGACAAAGTCATCCTGCAATTTGGCAAGATAGGGAAAGATATGTTTACTATGGATTACAGGTATCCCCTATCTGCGGTTCAAGCTTTTGCTATATGCTTGAGTAGCTTTGACACCAAATTGGCATGTGAATAGAAGATTAGGATGGGATACTAAAACAAATTAACAACTGCAATTGACCTTGTTCTGGATATATTATGCTACTTTTGTTTTCCTTTTCGCACTAGTAGAATTAGGGATTGTCCCTAATCTTTCATTATCTTGTAAAAACACCTCATTATAATGGTGGCTTGTTCATCTTGACATTTATTTAAAGCCACTGAACTTTCTATTTGAGTTCGAGAATCTACTTTTAAGCATTTTACAATCAATGTTGTTTATATTAAGCTTCATCCAAAGTTCCAATAAGATGCCTTCCCTTAAGAGTCAACAGCTTACCACATAGCTCTAATTCCTCTACCAAAGCTTGCCGACTGGGTTGCCCATTTATTAATTTCTTATCCAAACCCCTAACCAAGTTTGCTAGACTCGACTTGCTAAAATTAATAGGCTAACATCTTTTTTTAACTTCATCTTTGTTGAGTTTGAGGAAGGACATCTCAAGCTATAACAAATCAAAGGTGAAAAGATAGATGTTTGCCTATTTAATTTAGTGAGTCGGGTCTAGCAAGAATGAGTTCGAGTTTGATTCATAAAGTGGGTTTGAATTAATAAGTGAATATCCAAGTAAGCAGCAAGCTTAGGTGGATGAATCAGTATCACGTGACTACGACCTGTTAATTTTTGAGGGCATTTGTTGTCTCGCAGAATAATGGCGGGAGTATTTCTTATCCCAAAATGTAATTGAGGGTATACATGATTTATTTCGCACAATTCAGTGGCAGTTTTGACCCTTTTGCCTAGACTAAAAAAGGGACTTTCCTTTAGGTTTAAACCTTATAAACTCACCTCCCTTGTGGTTTTGAATAATACATACACCTCCCGTGTTTTGATTTTTTTCAACCTTCATATATATATATATTAACATTATATATCATGATACCTGTTTTTTACTAAATTTGAATTTCACACTGCAGGTGAAACACTCACACCATTGCACCACAACCTTTGCTCGTATATATTAGCATACTTATTATATTATAAATGAGAAGCTTCCGAGATAAAAATTGGATTACAAAAATACCCCTTAAAAATAAGTGAAAATTGTATGATATAGTAAATTATTAATTAAAATAAAATACTATAGCCATAGTTTATTTTATTTGTAATTCGTAGCAAATATCCCCCTTTTTTTTCATTTGACTCGGTATACAATTAGTCATTTTTTCTATACAATTATCCATTATTATACAAATGTATAAAATGCATTTTTATTTGTATAAAGCTAGAGAAAAATGTGTGCGTATAAATACAATACAAATACGTGTATTTTCATCCTATACACTTATAATTATACAATTATTTAGTTTTGTATAAACTGAAGAATTTATATAAAATTGAGAATCTAGTGAATTATAAAAACCAAAAGCTCCATAGCAAACATAAAATTTTCTATGGAGCATAATTATGCAAATTATAGTTATAACATACAAATATAATTTTTACATTGGCTTTATGTAAAAATTATTAAAAAGTTAACGGGTCAAATTATCTATTAGCTACAAGTAATTAGTATTGACTAGATAATTTTATATACTACTTAATGCTTCTATACTACTTATTTCACCATTAGAAGAAATAATAGAGGGAAGTAGGGTGCAAAAATAGTAGAGAGAAGGAGGAGTATACATGACCTGCTTGATTTTGATTTTTCAAATGTTAAATTAAATTATTTGTGTTAAAATTTTAAATTTATTAATCAAATTAAATTAACAAAAGTTGAGTTTTTATGGGATTTTCAACTTTGGGGTTTTCAAATACCAAATCAAACCATTTGTATCACATTTTTTTATTTTTTAATTTCTCCAAACTAATAAATTTTAGATATTTTGGATTATTGAATTTTTTCGATAAAGTATTCATCCAAAACATATAATTAACTTGTGCTTCAAATATTTCTCCAGTCCAACAAAAATACAACTATTTAAAACGTTTCTTAAGAAATTAACACACAATATCATAATTGATGATACTAAAGTATTCAATAAAAAATATTAATGAAATCGTATATAATAAATATTGCAAATTGAGAAGTTATAATGAAAAATGACCATAATTTAGAATTACTAAATCATGCTAAAATAAGTCTAATAAGTATTAATTACATGATTAAACATTAAATAAAAAATTAAAACTATGTCATGTATTTTAAATGACTAAACCAATGTAAAACTAAAGAATAAATATTCAACATTATTGTCATTCTTACTATTGATTAATTAATTTTGTCAGCATTAGTATTGATTTGATTTTGAAATCAAGCTTTATTAGATTTACTACTGTTGACACCCAATTTTGTCCCTCAACAATATAAATTAATATAGAGCTTCTTTAATTTTATACGATTTGAAATAATTAGTTTTATAAAATGCAATATATATTTTCAACTTCTAAAGTAATTTTCGCCATAAATATATTTTTATATAATTATTATATTTTATGAATATTCAAAAATCGTCTAAAAAAGATTTGGTTTTAATTAATTATTTGGTTACTTAGCTTAGTTATGTAATAATTTATAAAATAATTTAGTTTATAGTTAGATTGATTATTTTATTTCGTTAAGGTTAAGAAGCTCATTAGTTAATTATATTAATTCATCCTATTTACTTACTAGCCAAATTTACTAAATATCACACCCTTTTTTGCATATAGTGGTATGGTTTTTTCTATTTGAGGGACGTAATTGATTATAAATTATTTTATTTTTCTTTAGAGTCGCCACTTGGAATTAAGTTATGGTGTTCTAAGTTATTTTTTTGTTTTATCCCTAATCAAAAGGAAATGACTGCTAATTTTGGTTTGCGAACTAGAAATTCAGGTAAGAACTTTTTGCCCGAGGGGAAGGTATTAGACATCCCTCGAATATCGTGGTTCTAATACGGTCACTTTTATTGACTTATACTTGACTTAAAATATTTTTGGATATATTATTTTCAGGCCATGACTTATTCACATTTTTATTGTTGAACTTTTATTTGGTCTCAATCTAGATGCGTAACCGCATTTTTTACATTTAGAGACATAATCATCTTCTTTGCATCACACTTATTAACTTTATTTAAAAGTGTTATTTTAAATTAATGATATCGAATTATATTTTTAGACAAGATACGTTACCATATTCTTAAATTTATTTTATTGTCTCAAGAAAAAGATGTGTAATCACATTCTTTATTGAAATAAATATTTTTTACATGTAATATATCCGTCCTAATGCTTACCTATCACAAAGCTTAAGTGTATTATTAGTAATATATTCATGACAACTATTTAAATAATAGAAGTCTAGGATGACTACTACAAGTTATAACAAAGACATTAAAAATAAATAAAATAAAAATAAATGTGTAATTCTTCATTTCTTCTTTCTAGGATGAACATTCTAAATTTTAAAAGAAATTGACTAAACAAATTAATAGAATAATTTTCATAAATTTTGATTGGATACAAGAGATACATAATTGATAGTAGCCCACGATACAAATGAAAGATAACATAGAATAAAATAAATCTACAATGTTTCAATATTAGTGTCAAAATTAAACACACATAAAATTTAAGAAATTTCATAACATTGAAATTAAGTATTATATAATCATAAAAATAAAATATACAATCAAATCAACACCTCTTGTGAAAATTGAATTTACTAAAAAAAAAATTATCCTAATAAGAAACCACGAAACCAAACCTCAAACTTGAGCTTTATGTGCGAGTGGAAAAGATACATAATGGAAGGGTGATCTTGTTTTCCTTTTTCGTGCAGATGGGTGCATGTACTTTTTTTGTTTTTCTGGTAATATGTGGGAATTTTTTTTGTGTGTTTTGCCACTGTGAATGCTGAATTTTTCTCCTCATTCTTCTTGTGCGTGTGGTGGCGTTTTTTGTTTTGTAGCCTTTTTTCTTTTGCTTCTCTGTGTGAGGATGTGTATATATAGTGTGTAGAAACGTCCTTTTTTCTTTTTTGGTCGTCTCTGTGTACGTATATAATAACTAGATATCAGGTGCCTGCATTAGCGCAGGTCTAACATATATTAGTTTTTTTTCTTTCAATTTATGTGACACAAATAAAATTTGAAAAAGTGAACTAAATTTTTTATACGTGTTTTTTTAAAAATATTTTAAAATTTTAATTTATATACCTTTTATGTCATTTTCAAATAATATATGTTACTACATCTATTTTATTTTATATGATTTTAGGAAAGTCAACGTAGTTTCTTATATGATTTTCACATATTTTTAGTTGTCATTTAACTGTGACTCATAACTTTTTAGTTCTTTCATTATTTTCAAACAATATATGCAACTTCTTTTGTTTCAATAAAAATAAGGGAGTCAATCAAATTTTAATATGTTTTTAACTATGTTTTTTTTTAAAATATCTTAAATTGTTACATTGCGTTTTAAGCTTCTTTTTTATGTAATATGTAACAAATTAAAAATTAAAACGAAAAATTAAAGTTTTCAAAACATTATATTTTTATATCAAAATGTTCAAATCCATAAAACTCCACATATATGCACAAATTAATTTCTTTTATATAGTATATTTAAGATCACAAAATTAAAAAATATTTCAATACACAAAAATTAAATATGCATATAAATTTTAACTTGAATTTTGATTGATTCCACCTAATATTATACTTGATATGTAATTATCAAAAACTAAGCGTAATCATTATTTATTTAATTCCATGTAACAAATAGATATTACAATAATTCATAAAAATGATGAAATAACAAAATGAGATAATTCTAATAATAATAACTAAAGATGTTTCTATAACTATTTAATTTTCTTGTTATCATTCTTGGTAGATTTTTGCTTTCATGAAATTACGTTTTTATCTTTGATCATTTATTCACTTGATATATAGAAAGATGTTTCTAGAATTATTTATTCTTGATAGATTTTTGTTAGAATAAAATTACATTTTTATTCTTGGTCGTCTTTAATACAAATATATTATCATATTCATTGTTATTTGTCAAGTTACTTTTTAACATCTTTTTCTTTAATTTCAATCTAACATATATTATTAATTTTATCACACTTATTTATTTTCAAGTGTATTAATTAGAGCTAAAATAATATAAAAAGTAGGCATTTTCTATAAGCATAATGAATAGAAAAAATATGAAAAACTAAATTAAAATAATAGT